GCCTGTCTGCCACCGGACCAACCGACCATCATGCCACCGGATCAACCGACCATTATGCCATCCGACCACCCCACCGTCCTGCCATCCGAGCGCCCTACCAACCTGTAGTCCTGCCATTCGAGTGCCCTACCATCCTGCAGTCCTGCCATCCAAACATCACCCTATTCTCGCGTCGCACCATCCGATGGTCGGGCTTCAACTTGACACCCTACTATCCGATGGCGGGGCTTCAACGCGACACCCCACCATCCGATGGTCGGGCTTCGACGTGACACTCCACCATACGATGGTCGAGCTTCACCGCTCCACTCGACCGTCGCGCCATCCTGCCATCCTGCAACCCTGCCATCCTACCATCCTGCCGCCCGACCGTCCTCCGATCTTGCCATTCCGCCATCCTGCCATCCTCCCATCCAGCCATCCCACCACCCGACCATCCTCCCATCCTCGCATCCCGCCATCCTCCCATCCGATGGTCGGGCTTCAATGCGACACCCCACCATACGATGGTCGAGCTTCACCGCTCCACCTGACCGTCGTGCCATCCTGGCATCCTGCAACCCTGCCATCCTGCGATTATGCCGCCCGACCATCCTCCGATCTTGCCATTCCGCCATCCTGCCATCCTCCCATCCTGCCATCCCATCACCCGACCATCCGACCATCCTCCCATCCCGACATCTTCCCATTCGATGGTCGGGCTTCAACGCGACACCCCACCATACGATGGTCGAGCTTCACCGCTCCACCCGACCGTCGTGCCATCCTGCCATCCGGACCGAGCGACCGTCCTGCCATCCGACCACCCCACCGTCATGCCATCCGAGAGCCCTACCATCTTGCGGTCCTGCCATCCAAACATCCCTCCATCCTTGCATCCTGCCATCCAACCATCTTGCGATCCGACCTTCCTGCCATCCGACCTTCCTACCATCCGACATTCCTGCCATCCGACCTTCCTGCCATCCTGCCATCCTGCCGTCCGGCCTTGAACCCTAGACCCCGAACCACCAACCACCGAGTGTCCGAGCATGCATTCGACCGTCTGACCATCCGACCTTCTTGCCATTCCACCATCCGACCAATCGACCATCCAACCAACCCGCCATCCATCCCTCCGTACGACTAATCCGCCGTCATGCCATCCGACCACCCGACCGTCCTGCCACTCAGGCCCCAGACCATCCTGTCGTCCCACCATCCTTCGATCCTACCATTCGGCCAGCCCGCCATCTTGTCGTCCTGCCATTTTGCCATCGTGCCACCCCATCATCCGACCATCCTGCCTTCCTGCCATTTCGCCATCCTTCCATTTCGCCATCCCACCACCCGACCCTCCGCCCACCAGACCATCCGACCACCCGCGGAGCCCGACCCGACCAGAACCCTAAACCCTACACCATCCAGGGAGGCGGACCCGACCTTGAACCCTAAACCCTAGACCCTGAACCGCACACGATCGACCGTCCAACCATGCGACCTTCCCGACGTCCAGCAATCAGACCAC